GTTTGTGTGCTTAAAATACTTGATTCTGAAATATACTTTACAGAATACATAAAGAGGAAGACTTGCTAGGAGATAAGAAAATGGTCATCAGCATTTCATTGTGTAAGAGGATTCATTCTGATGAACTACAGATATAGTAAAATGGAAAACCGGGTAGCTTAGCCAGAACAGAAGACAGTTTCCTAATCTTTAACCGTTCTGAGTTATCAAAGCATGAGAGTGGTAAATATAGGCTGCTTAGGCCTTTACGAAAAATAGGTAATCTGGAATGTTTTGTTATTTTGTAAGTTCAGGCCTAAGGATTTTGAAGAAAATCAAGGTGTGAAAAGACAAATTTCTTATTAAGAGTGAAATATAAAAGTAGACAGGCAAGACAAAGAAAAAATTTGGAAATGCCGGAAATGATTCAGAAGAGGCCTATAGAATAACTGAAGAAACTTTACTCCATTCTTAGTTTCACCAATGACTGAATTTTCTGAGAACATGGGATCTTATGGTTTATATACAAGTTCTCAGATAAAAATCATCACTTTTTAAAAATTACATATTTCAAAGCAAGAAATATTCAGGCTATATAGTAGAAAAATGTTTTTGATTCTATAATATGATAGTTACATTATTTTGTTCTTTCCCAGATTATTCAATAAAGCTGCTTATTTCAGCAAGCTCATGAATCAGCTAAGCACATACTGAAGGTCACAAAATATGCCAGTCATTTAGAAAGCAGCTGTGGTTAATGCTTTTAAACCTCAAGGGAAATGACCAAGCCAGCAGTGTTCATTGAGTGGCAGGAAGCCTGTGTCAAATAAACATATTTTGGGTGCAAACTAGTCAGTCCACTAGTCCTGTAATTTTTCACAAGTTTGCTCCCTAATGCTTAATTCTATAAAACTCTCATCCATGGGTCACAGAATCTTTCTCATAGAGCCAGAGATTTTTTCTTGTTTTTCTCCTCCAAAGTTAATCAGAAGAGGAATCCTTTCAGAGCAATCTCAGTGTATGACACATTCGAGAGTAAAGGATTACCATGTTTCAGTAAAGCTGACATGTGAAGATTACCTGACAGTTGCATGTAGCAGGATGGCAGGGGGCTAACATATCAGTACATGGTTAATTGGATGGAGTGATTATTATCAGAAAAGCTGGTAATGACAAAATATGTGGTAAACACGGAAATAGTGGGAGTTACTCAACAATTGTTTTTGGGAGCTGGATTTGCTCTTACCAGATACCTGAAGAGTATTGTCAGTTCTCCAAACCACTTTGTCTCATCACCCGTTAACTCTTCTCCAGGGATTCCAGTTTCGATCCTCCAAGTTCTGTTTTCTGTGTGCCTCTGCTTTCCATATGGATTCTCTCTAACAGCACCCAGTTAATGTGATCAACTCTGATGCATTTGGTGCCAAGGACATCTGTCAGAGTGATGCTGTGGACCTCTCTGGGGTAGCTCTTCACACTTCTCTTTTGTCTCTGCCAT